CTAAACTTTTATCACAATGTGTAAATCCCTCCAGTATGCACTACAAACTTTAAAATAAAGGGTGTTTCAAACAGTTTTGCATTACAACAGTGACACCAGAAGGCCTAAGCGTTGCTTTCACTTGCACTTGTCTTTCATTAGCAAAATACTGCTTTTGTCAGATTTGACATATGTAAACTTTAGTCTATTAAACAGGTTAAAACATACATGCGTCAACAAATGTACTAAAAGCTACTTTACTTGTTGCACATCTTACCATCTTGTTTATTAAGCCATGAACTTCTACAACTGGAAGTAGCTCAATAAGTCACTAACAGCTACCAAATGTAAACAATGTATATCAAGTGAATTTATTTATTTAAAAAATATATACTACATACGAACGATCCGAAATTCTCGATGATTCTAAGTTGAATTAGTTGCTTATAACTGAGTACATGTGTAGGAAATTTTAGTAGAAAATTTTAAATTCGATTCCTCACCGTCCTCTTTATCCAGGATCGTAACTGTAGCCTTATCAGGATATTCTATGGCCGCCATCACAGGTTCCTGTAATAAGATCTCGAACTCTTCACTGTCTTCAAATAAACTGTCGTTAAGAATTCGAAGTCTCCAATAAGCCTCCGTCTGCCCGGGGCTAAATTGGACTTGTTTGGCGTAATGTTTGCCGAAATCTTCGCCTTCTTTGGCTGTGACGTTTTTCGTCTTCACACCTGGTGTATAAAACATTTAACGTTACTGCTCAAGAAAAGGTAATTTTGAAACTAAACATTTGAAGATTCCAATTCTTATACAAAAACAGTATTCCAAATGTATAAACCTATTTAAAAAACAAACAAACAGGCTATAGATTTTAACACAATTTTCAAGACAATTTTACTCAATAAAGATAGACCCTAGAGTAAAGAATGAATTATGTTGAATTTCTTAACCACTCTTCAACTTGAGTATTCTACTTCCTAACCACCCTTCAACTTGAATATTCTACTTCCTAACCACCCCTCATCCTAAATATTCTACTTCCTAACCACCCCTCAACTTGAATATTCCACTTCTTAACCACCCTTCAACTTGAATATTCTACTTCTTAACCACCCCCAACTTGAATATTCTACTTCTTAACCACCCCTCAACTTGAATATTCTACTTCCTAACCACCCTTCAACTTGAATATTCTACTTCCTAACCACCCTTCAACTTGAATATTCTACTTCCTAACCACCCTTCAACTTGAATATTCTACTTCCTAACCACCCTTCAACTTGAATATTCTACTTTTTAACCACCCCTCAACTTGAATATTCTACTTCCTAACCACCCTTCAACTTGAATATTCTACTTTCTAGCCACCCTTCACTTTTGAATATTCTACTTCCTAACCACCTCTCAACTTGAATATTCTACTTCACAGTTGTGAACTTAAAAATACTCCACCACTTAAAGCCACCATATACGGGTAACCAGACACAATGTTTCTTCGTGTATGGTGGCTGTTTCCGTGTCTCCAGAAGCAAAGAGACATGTGTCACGGAGTAAATATGACTTCTACTTTAAGAAACATTTTGCTATTGGTCAACTCGGGACAGACTCCGTTAGCGTGAGTTTCTTGTGTAACTTTGCAAGATGGCGACTTCAATAGAAGATAGGATGCTTAGAAATTCTGCTACAGATAATAATTTTTGGAGAAGTGCGTTGACAGACCATGTCTGTTTGACGTTAAAAAAAATACAATTATAAATGCAGCAATGATACTTTCACCCATTTTGAAACGTGTGACAAGAATGACGAAGTGCTACTTGAAAACGTTTCCAGACAATATTTCCTAACAATTAAAAAAACAAAAAACATGCTTGGATATTTCTGGATGCTGGCCTTTTCTCAACTTGAATAGTCCAATTTTAACTATCATATTCTGTTCAGTTTCACTGTCTTTATCCAAAGCAACTGCAACGGTAAACAAATACAGTATTTAACATGACATGTTAAATGTAAATAAATTCAAACAATAATAAACATGCCACTCAGAATTGTTTAAAACACAGTCGAGCCAGCAGGAGACGAAATTACATATCATATCATATAAAAAAAAAGTCTTTATCCGTAACTAAAATTTAAGGTTAAAACAAGTCTATCAGATATTGAATCTTGTTATAAGTAATGGTTGAATAATTTAAGGTTAAAACAAGTGTATCATATATTGAATCTTGTTATAAGTAATGGTTGAATAACTTAAGGTTAAAACAAGTCTATCAGATATTGAATCTTGTTATAAGTAATGGTTGAATAATTTAAGGGTAAAACAAATCTATCAGATATTGAATCTTGTTATAAGTAATGGTTGAATAATTTAAGGTTAAAACAAGTCTATCAGATATTGAATCTTGTTATAAGTAATGGTTGAATAACTTAAGGTTAAAACAAGTCTATCAGATATTGAATCTTGTTATAAGTAATGGTTGAATAATTTAAGGGTAAAACAAATCTATCAGATATTGAATCTTGTTATAAGTAATGGTTGAATAATTTAAGGTTAAAACAAGTCTATCAGATATTGAATCTTGTTATAAGTAATGATTGAATAACTTAAGGTTAAAACAAGTCTATCAGATATTGAATCTTGTTATAAGTAATGATTGAATAATTTAGGATTAAAACAAGTCTATAAGATATTGAATCTTGTTATAAGTAATGATTGAATAATTTAGGATTAAAACAAGTCTATAAGATATTGAATCTTGTTATAAGTAATGGTTGAATAATTTAAGGTTAAAACAAGTCTATCATATATTGAATCTTGTTATAAGTAATGGTTGAATAATTTAGGATTAAAACAAATCTATCAGATATTGAATCTTCTTATAAGTAATGGTTGAACAATTTAGGATTAAAACAAGTCTATCAGATATTGGCTTGGCATGGCCAGGTGATTAGGGCGCTAGACTCGCAATCTGAGGGTCGCAGGTTTGAATACCCGTCCCATCAAACATGCTCGCCCTTTCAGCCGAGGGGACGTATAATGTGGTGGTCAATCCCACTATTCGTTGGGAAAAGAGTAGCCTAAGGGTTGGATGATGACTAGTTGCCTTCCCTTTAGTTTTTCACTGGTAAATTAGGGACGGCTAGTGCAGATAACCCTCGTGTAGCTTTGCGCGAAATTCCAAACAAACTATCAGATATTGTTATAAGTAATAGTTTTAAAATCAAGTGCATAACTTCAAATTACTGATATCACTGTTACAAAATATACGTTCTAAACATATCTCCGCCACGCAATCCCCACATGGCCAATTCTGACATCAGAAAAATCGTAAAAACTAAGTAAAATGGAAAAGCCCAATATATTTGTTTGTCAATATGTGTTGCACGTAGAAAAGTATCATTGTGTCAAATTCAATGTAAACTGTCCGAAATACGGCGGAGTAATTGATCAAAAACCCAAAAGTATACTTTTTGTAGCATCTTGACCCCCTATATAATTACTATAAACATTATTGTTTGTTCATGTCTAGGACCTGTAGAAAAGTATCTTTGTACCAAATCCCATGTAAATTGGTTTAAATACGTCCGAACACTAAAATTATGCTTTTTTGTGAGCTCTGATCTCAATATGTTGGGCGCATGAAAATTTATATTTGTGCGAATTTGCATCTTGACTACTGTAAATATGATTGTACAGGAGCCCAAAAATATATTTTTTAGAGTTCTTTGACCTTTGACCGCATAAAATCCTTAAAAAATGCAAAAATAAACACAAAATTAAAAACATGTCTGGACCAAGGTATAAGTTTACCAAATTTCATGTCAATCCGCCGATAAATAAAGGAATGGTCGGTCGATTGAATAA